CCTGTTCAAGTGGAAGGTGTCCCTGCCCGGGGCAGGGGTTGGAGCTGGAGGAGCTTTAAGGTCCTATCCAATCCAAAGCATTCTATGGTTCTATGATACTGACAAAAGATATGGGAAGGTAAACTTAAAGGATGATTTTTATCTGTAGTGAAGGAAGGGATCAAATCCAGCACTTTGCACCCTGATCATGCAGGAGGAAAATAAAAAAATAAGTCTTTTAAAACCATTCCCAAGGTTACATCCAAGTCCTGCATCATTATATCACTGTTAAAAGATAAAGTTGTGAAGAAGCATCTCTCCAGCTGAAAAGCAGCTCTCATCCCTGTGTGACTCTTTAGACATCTCCACTGAGGGAATGTCTGACACCACTTGACTGCAGTAACAGAAGTGGTTTGAAGTCAGTGTGGTGGCACCACGTACCTTTGATCCTTTCCACCAAGTACTCCTGGTTTGGTGTAAGATCCAGATACTGCACAATAGCATTCAGGGTTGGAATGAGAGGAGCTTTAACAAGTGCTGCCTGCTTCAGGCTGCTGATGCTGGCTTCTGCAACACAAGGAGAGACAGTGCTGGTCAGCCACAGCCACCACAGAGCTCTAAGCAGTCCCCCTTACACGTCACTCCAAAGAGAGCTTGGTCCTTTCTGGTGCACCCTTTACAGTCCCCGAAGCATTTAAGAGGTGACACTACCCCAAATGCTCATTTCAGTTACAGTGAAGTAGCAAATGTCTCCTTTAGATCACAGAACATAAAAGCTACAAGGAACAAATATCCACTTTGAAGAGCAGAGGTAGAGTAACAAAGTGGGGGCAAGACCAGCATTGACCAGTTTTAATATGGGTGTTGCAACAGATACAGCTCTTGATGAGACACCACAAGAAACAGCCCCCCAGAAGGTGACCCCACCAATACAGAGTGGAAATGGAACAACATTCAACAAAGGTAACAACCACCACTGACCCCACCATTATCCACCTCCAGGAACTCCAAAGTTACCACCAGCTCCTACCTCCGATCTGCAGCTCTGGACACCCCATTCTTCTCAGCTGAGTGCTCACAGAGTCGATCTCTTGGACAAGTGGCACTAGAATAGTCTCATTAATCCACTAGGAATGGAAAAGGTGAAAATTCAGGAGATCAGAAGCAATAAAAACGTTAAAAAAACCCAACACATGGTTTACATCCTACTAATTGTCACCATTTGCCCCTCTACTCTGGCGAGACCCCACTTGCAGCACTGTGTGCAGTGCTGGTGTCCTCCACATCAGAAGGACTTGGAGCTGTTGGAGCAAGTGCAGAGGAGGCCACGAGGATGCTCAGGGGCTGGAGCACCTCCCGTGTGCATCACCCCTTGTCCTATCACTCCAGTCCCTGATGAAGGTCCCTCTCCAGCATCCTTGTAGCCCCCTTCAGACCCTGGAAGCTGCTCTGAGGTCTCCACGCAGCTTCTCTTCTCCAGGCTGAACAGCCCCAATGTTCTCAGCCTGTCTCCTTATGTCATCTATCATATGTCTGATATGACATATCTGTTCATATGTCATACGTCTGTCTTAATATGTCATCTGTCATGGCCAAGATGCTTTTGTTTGTCATTCAAAGGTGGATGAACTTTACAACTGTGAAGTTTCCAGAATACAAACCACCAAGGTCAGGTGGAAAAGGAATCTCTGCAGCCCCTTCTTCCTGTGTTCTTATCTCCGTGTGCCACCCCAAGCCTCAGACAGACACCACAATTCTTCCCACCTCTGTCAGCACACAGGGGACACTGAGGTGCTTTTCCACTCTGCTGGAGTTCTTGAAAACTCCTCTTGTTCTCAAAAACTGGGCATTCCTCAGAGGTGGCACTTACGTTTCTGAACTTGGCAGTCCAGGAATCCATGTGATCAAGGAGCTGTCGGTTCATTGTCAGCCGTGCCCAAACCTATGGAAAGATTTAGTAAGTACCTATGAGAAATACCAAGAGTTTTTAGGGTCTATGACAAGTTCTGACATTAACTAGAGCACATCTTTAAGGTCCCTTCCAAGCCAGACCATTCTGTGTGACTTCTACAGCAGTTTCGCATACAACACTTGCACTTTCTGTTCATGGTACAATCATCTTGCATGAGCCCAAATTCAGTTTTAAGCTCTCTGCAATACTAGGATAAAATTGGTCTGAACTGTAGGCTTGATGCAAGATGTATACAAAGGTATATGGGTTTAAACTGAAACAGAGGAAGTTCAGGTTTGATATAAGGCAGAAGCTCTTCCCTGTGAGGGTGCTGAGGCGCTGGCACAGGGTGCCCAGAGAAGCTGTGGCTGCCCCATCCCTGGCAGTGTTCAAGGCCAGGTTGCACACAGGGGCTTGGAGCAACCTGCTCTAGTGGAAGGTGTCCCTGCCCAGGGCAGGGGTTGGAGCTGGAGGAGCTTTAAGGCCCTTCCAACCCAGACCAGTCTGGGATTCTATGATTACAACTCAGAATATGAAATGCCCATTTATAGCAACAGTCTTTCAAGCTGTACAAAGATGGTTACATGCTTGAAGACTCCTCTCTCCCTCATGTCTGATGCAGCTTAAATTCAACCCTTTGTACAAAGCTGTAGACTTTAGAGGCTGTTTCTCCCTCTTGTCCACTTTGCTGCCCAATTTACCTCTTCTGCAGCCTGCTTTGAGCTCAGATCAGCTTCGTCCTTGTGTGCTGACGGAGCCTGGGACCTGCAAGCCAGCTGATACTGGAACTTCCTCAGCATCTGTGCATAGTCTGCCATGGAACGGCTGTAGTTCCAGAAAGTTGGGCTGCTGGAAGGAGAGCTGGAATCTGAACTTCCTGAAAGGATTCATTGAACAGTCATGTACAATTACTGCCAAGTCACTCTGGAAGCAAGAGTACAGGCACATTGGGTCAGTATGTTAAGGCTTTGGCAAGAGACAGGAAGAAGAACTACCAAGAACACAGACAGAAGTCAGTCTGTATAATCACCTGTATAACCACCCTGATCTTGATTGTGCCTATCCAGGACAGAAACTGCCTGCAGGTAATTCCCTTTATCTGAAACACCTTCTCCACAAGATATCCCTCTCATCAAGGTCATCATCTTATGACAGTCCTCTACAGCCAAAAAATGCTACGAAGACAATCTAACAGCACCCATCTCCATACAGGCATGTATCCTATCCAAAGGAATACTTTGGAGGAAAACCTTCTGAGACTCAAGCCAAATTCTACTAAACCCAACACCTTCTCATTGCCAAGCTGTTCTGATTGAATCAGTTTTCTTTACCTAGCTGAACCCTCTGCTGCTTCTCTTCTTCACCTCGAAGGAAGGTATCCAGGGATTTGAGGTCTGTCATGTAGTCTTCTTTGCCAGAAGGAGAATTATAGAAGACAGGTGAAGAGCGGACCCCCCCCTTCCACTGGCCCAATACTCGTGGGGTACATAGATCCAGTTGGAGAGGGGCTGAAGCCAGAAACCTTGGGTGAATAAAAGCAAACCATGTGTCATTTTCTTTCTTCTACTTTGCATTTACATTTTAGTTTCTTAGTTTTGCTTTGTTCTGAAACAAACTAGCTGCTCTAAACCAAAGGAAGTGTCACGAGGGAAAAAGGGCAAATCCCATGAGAACACATTTACACCTACTTTGCAAAAGGAGTAAATGCACAAATGCACAACTCTCTGCTGGCTGCTGCTTCCATTCAATGGCCCAACACACAAAACGAAGACCAAACTGTACCCCTGGGAGGTGTCTTGGTCATTACCTTAGTGTAGCTGCTGCCTGGTGAATAGGTTAAACTGCTGTAAGAACTGCTGTTGCTTGACAGAGCCTGTAGCTGAGGGCTGTAGCCTGTGATACAACCAGTAGTAAACTTTGGACTGGCACTAGGGGAGCGGGATGGGCTGTAACTGAGCACACTTTGACCCTGGATTGGAGGAGAAGGTGTTGAAGATGGGTCTTTCTTTGCTGCCAGTGCACGTGGTGGACTTGTTTGTACAGCTGCAAGAAGGAAAAATAGGATTAGCATCAAGGATGGAGCAGCCCCAAACTCTCCTCATGCTTTAAACATACAACAAAACACATACATGGTGCTCCCTTATGGCTATTTTATAAAGCTGCTTGAAGGGACATGAGAAAAATCTAGTCTCTACGGAACTCAGTGGTCAAGCAGTGGACAGAAGACTGAGACGTGAGCAAGACTCAGTACAAATCCTACAGCTTTGGATTTCAGTTAAATGTTACAGGCACCTGCATGACCCTGGGAGGCTTCTCTAACCTGTCTCATCACCTACTCTACCTGCCTACTTCAAGCATCACCTACTAGATGATCTTAAGGTCCTTTCCAACCCAAACCATTCTATGATTCTATATAAAATCCCTGAACTTTGCTGATACAGCATTACTCCTGTCTGCCTCCCATTTTCTCAGGGCAGACTCATGAAGTGCAAGTGCTACTGTGCAGCATTTTGCTGCTGGTGTATTTACCTTGTCAGGTTCTGGTGTATGTTAGAACTCTGCTTTGATCTTCAAAAGCTTTCAGAGTGACTGCACTCTAGGCTGCCATTTTCAGACCTCACACAAAGGTCTGTCTGTCCCTCTAATTTGATTCTTGATACCCAGCATGTATCAGTAGGATATCGAAATCAAACATATACCTGCACTCTCTGCCATGCTCCTAGTCCCATGTAGGCCAGGGCAGTGACTGTCCCCCTGTGCTGGGCACTGGAGCCAGGAGGGGGCTGGTCTCTGCTCCCAAGGAACAAGGATGGGACAAGAGGAAACGGCCTCAAGCTGCACCAGGGCAGGTTTAGATGGAGATGAGGAACAATTCCTTCCCCAAGGAGTGCTCAGGCATTGGAACAGGCTTGATGATCTTAAAGGTCTTTTCCAACCTGGTTGATTCTATGATTCTATGTAAAGGTTACAAATTCCTTGTCCAACCCCAAAATGTTGAAGTCTCTCACTTCCTGTCCTTTTACACCAGGAGTGTTTGTCTCCCCTCTGTTCTTCCCACAAACACTCATCAAATTACCACCTGATGTTTCACAAACTACACTTGATGTTGTGAACTTTAATAAAGAGCGGGTAATTCAGGTTTACTCATATCAGAAAGGTAATTCAGAACTCACTTCACTAAAGAATCCTGCGCTAGAGTAAGATAAAGGAAAACCAGGAGACAGTAACAATAATAAAAGTAAAAAGCCTGCAGAGATACTTATCCCACCCACCTGCATTCTGCAAGCCCAGCAGTCTCTTCTGGCCAGGACTCATGACCAAGGCTGTTGGTGCCACTGTGTATTTGAAGTACATCCAGAAATCAAACAAGGCATTCAGGCTGAACAGAGATGCAAAGGCAAGTTCTGCAAGAGACACAGATGGTTTTACCAACAGAAGTATACTATTTGCAAAAGCAGGCATCTGCCCATTCACGCCAGGTCATTATTAATGCTACCAGTAAACACCAGCTTGGGCAAGTATCTAAGATTTCCTCCCCTTGTTTTGCAAGAACCACTGGAGCTTGTTTTCCTTACTGAGATTAATTTCTATTGCTAAAATGTAATTTTTACAAATAGACAGTTATTTTCCAAAAAGCACAAGGAAGTTTCACAGTATTTCTCCAACATCATCTTCTGTCAAGTCATCTGTCACTCATCTCTTGATTTTTTTCTCCCTCTTGCTCCGTTTCATCCTCTATTTGATATAGTCAGCGTGGGTTCTACTCCTCTAAAACAAGTTTTAAGTACTGTGCAATGACATCTACACCCACAGTACAATGTGGTAGTAAAATCCACAGTGTTCTCCAAAGCCTTACTCCACACGTTACACAGGTTTAATGCTCCAAATAAGTTCTTCATGCCCTTTCATGGTATTATCTGGGAAAGCTGATAAAACTCCTTAGCTATCACTAAACAGGATGAAAGTCCAACAGATTTAAGGGAGATGACAGAAAGCAAACCAAAGGTTTGGTTTGAATTTAAACAGAAAAAAAACCTCACTTAAAAATGAACCCACCCACCCCCCAAAAAATAAAACTGACAAGTGAAAAAAGGAAAGAATCCTAAAAACTTATGTAAATGCTGCAGCAACTCACCAATATACCACAGTAGCCAGTATGTGATGTTGTAGTAGGAGCTGATGAGTTTCCCAGTCCTAAAAAGAAAAACATGAAGTTATTCTGCAACAATTCTGTCCCAGGAAATATTTGGGGGTATAGAAAGTAAGATGGTTTGGTTGACTGAATCAGATGTAACAATTAACTTACATTTCAGTATATATCATGCCTGCAACAGATACATTAAGGAGGCCCCAGGCCAAGACGACCTTCCGGGCTTCAACCTCCTTCCTCATCTGGAAGGTCTTGTCGATGAGGGAAGTCTCTGAACTCTGTTCTGATGCCATCATCTGCAATGACAAACACAGAGACAAAATCTGTCAATTTTTAAACAGTAAGTCTTGGTCAGCAGGAGGTGAAAGAAAAAGCAGTTATCCAAACCTCTATAAACAGGGTTTACCTCTAGGCACTAGGTAACAGCATATTATAAAAGAAAGCAGACTCTTTTCAATAGTAAAAATAGGTGTTATTTCTTCACTGAACTCTACTGTCACCTCACTACTGAGGAACAGCACCCAGCTTCTCCAGTGAGGTGCAGACAAGAGGACAGAGAAAGATACCAACTCATATGGGGCAACAGCACAAGAGGGATGTGGAGCTGCTGGAGTGAGGCCAGAGGAGGCCCCGGAGCTGCTGCAAGGGCTGGAGCAGCTCTGCTCTGGAGCCAGGCTGAGAGAGCTGGGCTGGGGCAGCTGGAGAAGAGAAGGCTCCTGAAGGGGACACCTTAGAGCAGCTCCAGTGCCTAAAGGAGCTCCAAGAGACCTGGAGAGGGGCTTTGGACAAGGGATGTAGGGACAGGACAAGGGGAATGGCTTGAACCTGCCAGAGGGGAGGCTGAGATGAGCTCTGGGGCAGAAGAACCCAAACCAGTCTGTGATTCCATGATTCAGATTTGAAAAATAACATCCTTCAGAAGCGAGAGGCAAAGCTCTTGCCCCCTCCAGGCAAAGGAAGCCCCAGGAAGGAAAGGCCTGACACCATTCTGCAGAGTGTTTATTGAACATTCCCACTCATTTCAGTAGCCAACAGGATTTTCAGACTGTACAAACACCTCCTGTGGGTTCAGTGCATCTGAAGCAGCCTTTATACCCTGTAACACCTTATGTGAAAGAACTAACCCTGGTGAGTTTTTCTGCCAGTCCCATCATCAAAATATGCTTCTATCCCTTCCTCCTGCCCATTCAAACACTTGTCACACCATTCTTCAGTAGATGGGAACATAAATAGTTTTAGGTAAAATAATACACAAAATCCAAATCACATTATCTGCTTCTTACTGGTGCAATAACATCAGGGTTACTGGAAGAATGCTACAAGAACACATTGTTGGTCATCTTTCTGACTGGTTTTCCATACACTCTGAGCCTTAAAACCTCCCTTCCCATGCTGACAAAAGTAGCAGCCCCAAGGAGAAATCCTCTCCCTCATCCTCACACTCCCAACCTCTCCCTCTAAACCAAGTCCTCCTGCAGAGGCAGAATAAAAGGGAGACTTGGTCCCTTTCTACTCACTTAGGAGGGCATCACCTACAAACTGATACATATCCTCCTGTACCCCCCAACCTCTTCTGAGGCACAGTAATCATAGAATCATAGAATGGTTTGGGTTGGAACGACCTTAAGATCATC